ATTTGATATATGGAAAGTATTGGTCGAAAACCGCTCGAAAAATTTTGTTTTTGTTTTCTTTAATCAAAAATTTAAGATTTTTCCTTTCATTTGATATATGGAAAGTATTGGTTGATATCTTCTAAGTATGTTTATTCGATTCACATATATGGGCATAAATAATTTTCCATACAAAATCACTTCATCGTTTTGCAAACACATGCATGCGCTGGAAGTGAGAGGAGACAAAAAGTATACGTGTGTAGGTATTTCGGCTTTTAAATAACAAATGGCGCCATATTTATAAAAGGCAAAGGTGAAGGGGAATATGTAGATGAAGAATATGATAAACATAAAAGTAAAAACAAAGATGAATATAAAGAAAATTATGAGGATACCGATAAAAGTAAAGATGAAGATAGAGGAAGAAAGATTAAAGTAAAGGTAATTATAGAGGAAAGGATATAGACAGGACTCAATCTGGGGACTATTTCAGGATTTTAGAGATTTTCAGAATTCTCCGGACTTATCGATATAATAATCGATATTTTATCGGTTTTGTTATCGATATTTTGTATCGATTTTGTTATCGATATTGTTATTGATTTTACTATCGATATTTTCGGAACTTATCGATATAAAAAACGATATTTTTTATCGATTTTGTAACCAATTTTTTTTATAGATGTTGTAATCGATTTTGTTATCGGTATTTTTATCAATTTTGTTATCGATATTTTTACCGATTTTGTTATCGATTTTGCTATCGATACTATTATCGATTTTACTATCGATATTATTATCGATTTTGCTATCGATATTATTATCGCTTTTGATATCGATATTTTTTTCTAAGTGTGTGCTTTCGTTTTTGACTTGGATGTGCTCATAACCATACCACGTATTCTACGTTTAAATTTAACGGCTGTTTCTCTGGTACAGCCTGCAGACCAAGACTAAGGCGCTGGACTGTTCCTTTTTTTCTCTAGTACATGTGCAAGTGGTTTTTGTATAGCCAAAATTGGCCCAAGTTTTCTATTTTATTTTCTTAAAAATTTTCGAAAATTCAATCTTTTGTATAATATTTTAATGCAAGCAAAGAAAATCATATAAGTCAATACCTCTGAATAATGGCAAAATTGGCGAAATTTTTAAAATTCGCAATATTCAGGTTACGAGCTTAAAGCGGCTGCACTGATCATTTTGTTATTTTTTTTACGTAGAATACGTCTTACGTTTCGATATGGAGGCTATGCTCAAATGTTGTAGTTGTAATTTTTAGAGCTTTACGAAAACGATTATTGCACACAGGCCCGTAGCCAGGATTCTTTTTCGGAGGGGGGGGAGGGGGGGTTCTGGCAAATTTTTTTTTTTAGTTTCACTTTTATTTCAACATATTTTGATTAAAAGAAAAATACTGATAAAAATAAAATACGTATTTCACACAAACAACAAAAAATATAATCGATAATCGCATGAGGCTATTGCCTGAAAATTTTAAAATTCGCTTAGTGGCATTGTGCTACTATAATAGCACGGCCGAGTAATCATAGCAAACTTATGTACAGTAATTTTTTTTTAGTTTATTAGTCGAACAAATTATAGCCGCACCAAATTTTCACAAGTTTTAAAATATTATTTTGCTGTTATTTAATTTTGGTTAGTTTTTTTATATTTCATTCTCTAAAAACATCCGTATAAGTACAAGTTTAAAGGCAGTGTCACACGATTGGGTATTTGCCAAAATTTGGTGCAAATCGTATCCCAATTGTGTGAACACCCAAAGTATTTTTCTTTATCCCAATCACGAAAATTAATTTGTTGAAATTTTTCAATAGAACATCTTTTGACTACACTAAAAAAAAATCCCTTTTTTTACCAATAGCCCAATATAAAAATGTACAAATGTAAAAAGGTACCAATCGAGTGACACTGCCTTAAAAATTTATTCAATTAAAAAAAAAATCAACAAAGTTTCGTTAAAATTCGAGGTTTTTAATTAATTCCTGAGTATGCAGTTTTGTATCCCATTGAATTCTAGTAGAATAAAGTACAAGTTTCAAATGGCTAAAAATTTCGATTGATTTTCTAGAATTTTTAAAAAGTTCGAAATTTGTACGAAAGTTTGTTGAATTTTTTTTAATATGGCACAAATTTGGAAACTTAGATTTACACGGGTTTTGTTAAAGAAAGAACTATACTTTTATAAAAAAAATAACAAACGTTCAATAGCAACAAAAATAATACGTTAGAACTTGGCAAAAAGTGTTTCGGCTACAATTTTTTTACCACCGTATGTATGGCTGCCAAGCTGCCAATCTGAATTGCAGCGGCACCATATATGGCAAAAGAACAATGCTGCTGGCGTATGCAGATGATATCGATATCGTAGGTCTGAAATAAAGGGACGTAACCGCAGCATTTTCCAGTTTAGAAAAAGAAGCTAAAGTGGTTGGTCTAGCGGTTAACTAGGGCAAGCCAAAGGACCTCATGGCAACATATAAAGAGTCCACGCGTTTCGGGACACATGTCACTGTTGGCAGATATGACTTTGAAGTAGTGAAGGACTCTGTCTACCTAGGATCCCGCATAAACACCACCAACAACGTCAGCCTGGAGATCAAGCGAAGAATAACTCTTGCCAGCAGATGCTACTTTGGGCTCGGTAGGCAATTGAAAAGCAGAGTCCTCTCTCGACGAACGAAAATCATGCTCTGCAATCTCTCATCATGCCCGTCCTTTTGTATGGCGCAGAAACTTGGACGATGTCAAACAAAGATGAAAAGGCTTTCGAAAGAACTATTCTGCGCAAGATCTACGGCCCTGTTTTCGTGGATGACAGGTATCGGAGAAGATGGAATGACGAACTGTATGAGCTTTTTAACAACATGGACATAATTAAGCGCATAAAAATACAGCGATTGCGCTGGCTTGGATATGTTGTACGCATGGATGACGATGCTCCGGTGAAAAGATCCTTCGACTCCGCACCCATGGGTGAACAACGAAAGCAAGGGCGCCCACGAACGCAATGGAAGAACCAAGTGCAGAAGGAGCTGTCTGCGCTCGGGGTAACCAACTGGCGCAAATTCGCACAGGAGAAAGGCATTTGGAAAAGCTTTTTGGTCTCGGCCCAAACTTACAAACGGTTGTAGTGCCAAATAACAAGAAGATATATTTTTGTATGTCTTTAATTGGACATGCAAATTGTATATAAAGGAAGTACATAACAAAATTAAAAAATATACGCCTCTTTAGCCTTTTTTCAAAGCTCATTTTGCCTTTTTTCAAGTTTTAAGTGCCTTAAAATCCATTTAAAATTTTCAGGCAATAGCCTCATGCGATTATCGATTATATTTTTTGTTGTTTGTGTGAAATACAACCCCCTCTCCCCCCC